AACTCCCTTTATTGCAGGACATGCTGGCAAGGTTTCTATTTATGTTCCCTGCCTTCGTTTCCGGATAGGGAAGAACCATGAAAACAGCAATGTGCAGGCAAGGCAACGCCTGGTCAGTCCACATGAAATATAGAATAACCTAGTGTACAACTAGAAGGTACATGTCATGTTAGGTAGTATCTAAGATAACCTCCCTATATCATTGTGTAGTTTATGGTCACAACATATACAAGAAAGATATTTGGTGGGGTACACCACAGCTAAGTAACCCATACCAACTCATCAGAAATCACTTTTTCACTGGCCCAAATATTCTAGATGTATGAAAGGTAAAACTGGCAGGTTTATTGCAACGTGTTACTCTCTTTCTAAGTGCTAAGAAAGAAATTATATACTTTTTAAAATGACAACTTCAAATGTATCCAAGAATTTAGATTTGGCCACATCTGTCCAATCAGCTTAGTGCAATCATTTTCAAGTGATGTACTGTTACTACTCAAGTAAAACATTAAAGATCTAAAAGGAAAGTGACCGTAAAGATGAACTCGAGCCAAAAACAGCTCTATACACAAATACATATATGAGAGCTGTTTCATCTGGCAAAGGATTTGTATTTAAGTCCATCCAGTTCTGAAATGTACACAGCAAGGGAGAGTACCTGATCGTTCCCTGACGCAATTTCATTTTTAGGTCTCCTCCCTACCAACAATCTGTCACTGGGCAGTGTATGAAGAAACAGCGGAACAATGAGCTAATCTCTCTGCCACTCTGCTCTCTCCTGCTATCACCGCTGCAACGCTTCTGAATGGCTTTGTGTTCTGCTTCTACCCCACCCCCATCTTTGAGCCCTGCTGTACAGAAAACTGCAAAAGATAGACACCAAGTCAAGTGCACATACTTGCATTTAATGATGTATTCAAGAGTACAAAGCTAAAAATATTTTTTTATTTTTCATGGGCATCTTATGGCTTTCATGTCTCATTTGTTTGTTTTTTTAGCATGTTTGGTATGTTGAGTGCAGGAGATTGAGACGTTTTGGCAGTTAATAATTGGAGACTGTAACCCATAACTATATGACAACCAAAATTTTAAATTCTTGTGATACCCTGATAATTCACGTTTTGTAAGATTTATGATTATAAATTGCGATTAGACTATAAAGGTTAACAGTTAAATTCTAAACGTTCTACAATGATCTGTGACTAACACTGTACAATACTATGCTACAGTGTTAGAAAGCCTGCTAGCCATCAAACACTTGCAATGTGTACTAAAGAGGCTCATACATGGTTTATGGTCCCTACCCTGATAGAGGGAGGATTTTTATTCAGTAAACTGGTAAATATCTTTCTAAGGGCTAGTACACATGTAGATCCACATCCAACTCCAGCAGTTTATGTGCCAAGATTCTCGCACTCAAATATTTTCCTGCTGGGGATTGGCTGGGACAAGGAACATTAGTGAATTTCACAGCCTTACAGCCAAGCACACCATTCATCAAGTCCTTTCATTTCCTCCCTCAAAAAATCATAAAAAAGATTGAGCATTTACTTTGCTAGGTGAACAGTCTTTATTCCTTTAGTAAAACATATACACTAATGAAAGCTGAAGATTAAACTTAATATGCAAGCAGGGAGCATGCTTTACTGCTTAGAACTTCAGAGTAAGTCCAAGCATTACTGAAGTGAGACATTCTACCCGACTCCCTTCTGGAGGGCAATCTGGTGATCTGAGAATCCCTCCCTGTGATAGAGGAGAAGAATTCCCAAACACACCCATTGTTGGATCCTTACACTCTCTCACATACAGAAAGCCTGATCTAAAAAGATGTCAGCACTACATTACTTAGCCACTACTTAAATTAAAGTCTGTCTATGATGTCTATAATGTGATTGGTGATACATGAAGCAGAGTGAAGGTTAGACACCACAGGCTTCAGAAGTACACTTCAAACTGACCTTGTGAGGTATTCTCTGGGTGCCAGCTAAATAGCTTTACAGAGATTAAGGGTGCATTCACACCAAAATTGGACGGCACTCGCAAGTAAACAGAGGCTCCTTTCGATTTCCTTCTGGTTTGTTGCATTCCCTCACATTTTTTCTTTTTTCAAAAAGCTTTATGTAAAGTAACATGTCCTGAGTGGACGTACTTCCCTCTAATGGTTTGCAATGCGTTGTAACATGTCCTGAGTGGACGTACTTCCCTCTAATGGTTTAAACTTTCTGATTGTAACATCGTAGCAGGATTCATTTGTAGATAACTGATTACTTTTGCTTTACCTGAATTTTACATTATTTGAAGAGTAAAGTGGGTTAAACAAGTGTGAAAACCCTTCAAATTAATTCCTGATGTATGAGTAATGATTTGTTCTATAAAGATGTAAAACGGAAATCTGAGATAAGCACATGTTTATTAAACAAACACAAGCTGTAAAATATAAAAGAACGAGAGGGAGATCAAAATAAAGAAAACAAAGAGAGGCATCAGAGGAAGTCTGCAAAGAATATTCCAAAATGCCCTATGAATTACACACTCGATTTCGTAATATGAGGCAGCCCTAAAGTTCTTTTTTCTGTAAGTTAAAGTGTCTAGTTTGACCTCTGTGTCTGTGAGTCCCGGTTTTAAAGTGTATTTCAGGTCTGGCTGGTTAGAGAAGTGACTTCTTTCACATAGTAATACTGTAACTTCAGTCACAAATACACAGAAAGGGAACATTTATAACAAATCACAATTAACAGTTCACAGAAAATCAGTGCTCAAAAAAAGAGAACTCTTATGTTATGGGGGCACTCCAACTTCATTGACTATTACAACAGGAGTCTTCTCCAACTCTTTCCGGTACTAATTAGTCGGAGAAATTTCTTAGTACTCCAACTAAGGACGCCAGAGTTTACCATGGACAAACCAGGACGCTCAGTCCCTTACTTGCTAGAGACTTCTCCAGGTGGGTTTTACCAGCCTTGGTCAATACCTCAAATGCTTGGACCGCTTGTCCAAAACAAGATATGGTGTCCAGTGAGTGTGTGAACCAACACTTTCAAGCTGTAGCCATCACTTCACGCAGGGATAACCATCACAGGTTTAAACATAGGCCATATGGTTCTCAGCCCTTCTGCAGTCCCCCAAGAAGAAAAAAAATTAAATAGTCACATGCGTTTGCACTTGTTTGTAATGGAAACTTTAATAGAATCAAGCTTGCGACCTGGGATGTACATCCTTAGCCAACACTAAACAGTCCCTCATAAAGAAGACTGTTGCCCTCACTATCTCTAATGAAGTCTCTTTGCTCAACACTTGAAGAAAGTAATTCTCTAGTGGTCATCCCCAAATCAGGTGGAAGCCCCCTTCCCCACCTCTTCCCCGAAGGATGAGCCCCAAATGTCTTGCACTGTGCTGTGATTTTATTGCTCTCGAGTAGAGTTGCTCCTCCCTTCCTTTGTCACAAGCGCTGCCAACCGATTGGCATCACCCTCCATTCTCTTATACATCCCTAAAAGGGCCCTACAGACATATACATACCATTCTTATTCAACAAGTGGCAATCATGTCTTAAAATGAACCTATGTTCTAAAAAATAGGAAGAACAGGGTTGAGACTGTAGATGACTGGTCACCTCTACCTGAACATTACCCCATCAAGCTCTTCAGCTGAGACTACAGTAATGCTATGGTGGCAATCACACAGATGCCACTGAAAAAGTACAAACATTCCATGAGAAAGGTATTGCTGAGTGCACTATTTTTTCTGGCTGCACCAGACCAGAACGTAGGAAATGATGTGCCACGTGTTCCCGTGTGACCGATCGCATTGCAGCAGGAGGGCAGGGCTGCAGTGCCATTGAGTTTAATGCACCGCCACACCCCCTCCCGCCCCAAAACAAAGGGACCCGGCTGAAATGTGATCCGGTGCGTTCAGCCACAATCGGGCCGGAACGCACTGAGGATGGTGTGAACTAGCCCAAATGGTGATAACCGATGCATGGGCAGTGTCATTGTAAATGTAATCTGTACAAAGTGAAGCCAAATTTATAAAAAAATGTTTATCATAAATATAAAATTATAAAGTATAGACAAAGATATTGCCTATAGCAACTAGATTGCAACTGTTCCAAAAATTCCAAAACACAAAATGTGTCGTGGTGAGAACTCTGAGAACTACAGACATTTTCTAGTTCACTTTTCTTTCTTTTTTTAGAAGTCATTGTCAGTGTTATTGGCATCTGGAGCAATGATTGTAGCATGAGGGCACTATCTCTCTGGGTACCCTGACATGGCATAGTGTGGGGCAGGTGGGGCAGTGTCCCTGGCATATGTTGGCAATGACTTGTATGCACTGGAATGTCATTGTTTTTACAACTACTGTACAAACTGCACCCTACAGATTTTCCATACTACTGCTACACATCTGAAAGCTTTCCCCAGGTTTGGGGAGTCAGAAGTCATTTGTATTCCCTAAACAATTGTATTGTATGAGCCTTGCTCACACCATACAAGTGCGGTGGTGTGCAGAAAAACGCAGCTCAATGGACATGCTGTGAACAAGCTCTAAATGAGAATATGAATTAAATTTCATGCTGTAACAAATGTTTAATATTATGTTATGGAAATCCTTCCATAACATAAGTATAAAATGACGACTTTATAGAACTGATGCTGATTTTTGTTTGTGTATGCTTAATAATAATTATTGAAAGAAAACATAAAACAATAATTCTTTTAAAATTGAAGTAGGTAAGATTACACAGCTAATTCTATTCTTAGATGGTAGGAAAGATTGCCATTATCCAACTGACCACAGTAGAGAAGTTTCATACACCGATACATTTCCTGTTTCAGACCTATCAGCAGAGGCCCTAATGTTCTATGCTGAAGATTCATGCAACTGTGTAAATAAACACAGGAACCTTTAAAGCAAAGCAGTATGTTTAATCAATATTAGCAGTTGGTGTGTACATGAAAATTACTTCAGCACTATAAAAACCAGACCAAGGCTATACATACCAAAGTAGAAGTATCCACCTTCATCTTTGGGCTGAAAGAAGCGCCCTCTGGCCTGAGCATGGACATCAGCTCCCTTCTCCACCAGCAGCTCAACATAATGCTTGCAGCGTCTTTCTATAGCTATGTGAAGAGCAGTCTGGCCTGATAAAACATAAAGGTATATTACACCTTGCTTCACATCATACAATGAAAACAAAAAAAGGCCACACCAAAACCTCATAACACATAATGATGCAGAGTTTCACAAGCAGCTCAATTGTTCAAAGAAACTCTGACCCAAATCTGGCCATATCTGGGCATGCCACGCACCAACTTTTCATCATCCCCTACTTTCTTGGATGCAAAGATACAGGCTGGCGAGAGGAATACATTTAATTTGAAAAAGAGAAGAAACTAAACATGTTACCAGGACTCTCTAAGTATGTGCATGCATCTTACAGGGAAGTTATGCGTGTTTAGACCAATAACAAACCCAATAACACAGACCAGGATGAACGTAGCTCACTTTATGGCAGCATATATCAGCCCACCAACAGATGCTGGATTTCAATCTGCCAAGATTCTGTTGTCATAGAAATACCACAGTGCCTGTGTTTTGAAAAGTGAAAATTAAAGCCACATTTTGTGAAAAATTATAATTTACACATGGCATTGGGTGTGTAAATTATTAAAAAGCTGGGTGTTATGTGCAGTATAAAAATCTTACCTTGCATCACACTCCTGCAAAGAACGCCGAGGTTCTGGCCACTAAGAAGAGGGAGAGATGAGAGCTGTGCAGCATTCCGGTTGCATCACCCGCCTCTCCTCACTATGCTCAATTCACAAAATATCTTGTATTTTTTTCAAAGAATAAAAGACATTCTGTGATTGGAGGAGGAGAGATGAAGTCACGTCCCTGCCCCCTCCACTTCAATCAGAAGTATTCTGTATTCTTGAAAAAAAAAAAACACAAGATATTTTGTGAATGGCTAATAGTGAGGAGAGGGTGATGCAACTGGAGTGCTGTAGTGCTCAAACCGCATCTATCCCTCTCTTCAGTGCCCGGAAGCGTTGCGTTGCGTGCAAGAGGCGGCATGCTGCAAGGTAAGATTTGTATACTTTACGGCAGCCCTCCGCACATAAGACACAGCTTTTTCATGACCACTCTAAAAGGCTGGTCCGACATTCATATTCAATATGATTGTTGAAACCTATATCCTAACCTAAAATATTAAGAAGATGCACGAGTTTTGTAGACTCTGATGTGTACTTCACCTTTAGCCACATTAATATGTGGGAAAGCAGACATGGTCCTCCTAATGCTAAGGAACTACAACGGAGTCTGCAATGGCCAAAGATCACAAAAGGAAAGGACTTGACAGGATGAATTCGAACAAAGGGAAGTTTATAGGCATGGGGATTATTTATAAAATCATCTGCCCAGCCATATGATGGGCGTATGCCCTTCACACGGCATTCTCGCCAATAGATGGAGCAAAGGAGATAGGATTTTCCTATGTTCCTCGGTTCCATCTACTGGCGGGAATGGCATTTATCCAGTGTATGGCTGGGAGGATGATTTGTAAATCATCCTCATAGTGTGGTTGTTGTTGCTCAAACAATGAAAAGTGCTGTGTCTTAAGGAGTTACAAGCTGCTCTAAAACATGTAGTTGATGAGGCCAGTTCATCCGACCCGTGTGGACCAGCAAGTGTGCTACCCTCTGACGAGGTGGATGTTTATGGGGGCCCTCTGCTTTCCTGGTAATTGGCAGCCTGATGTTAAATGTTTCAGTTAACTTTAAGAAGATTGACTTTGTTTCACTCTGTATTTTAGCGAACTAAGGAACTTTCTGAGGTTGCCTATGAAAATGTGGTTATATGACGGAATCCATTCCCCCTTGTGGGTTATGCTTCCTCTTTCTTCTGCAGAGATGAAAGAAGTGCTGCCAAACCTTTAGTGTCAGTGTGTGCCTTATGATCCACAATTTATATTTACACAGAAATCATTTTGCTGCTGTTTACCCCTGGCACATTTACCATACCACCATGACTTTACCAGGCCACGTTCTGACAGGGTTCATTCGGCACTGCCCTCTGAAAAGTGATCCACGGCGCATTGCTTTTCAAAGGGGAGTGGAGCAGCGGCTGCCGGTGTTCAAGAGGCAATACTGCCGCCTCCTTTTAAGCAGGGTTTTTTCAATCCCTGTAGGTTTTCAATTGAAGTATGGTAAAGGTAGGTAGGTCTTGCATCTTTCTTGTTATGAAAAGACATCTGTTTTGCTAGCTTTACAATCAAAATACCACAATCGCAGAACAGTACTCAACGACCCATGAAATATTTGATTGGAGCCAAGGAATGTGCAGGGTCTGGTCATCTCTAAAACAATACATTAAGCTGCTGGCCATCTAAAAAAAGAATAAATCTGGGCTTGCAGAACCACTTAATATAGTAATCTGTGGTATTCACCTCTGTAGTAAACATCTCGGAAAGGGGAGTTGATAAATTCTCGGAGATTCCCTGTTTTTTCTGCAATATCCATCAATGCTGGTATTGTGTCATTTCTGCCACCACTTAGGTTTAGTAGAGCTTTAGGCAAACAAGTCTTCCCTGTTGATGGCTCTGAAAAGAATCAAGTACATAAACACCCAAAGAACAAATACATTGCTTTTACTAACTGAATTATATCTTGAAATGGTAGGAGACAGGGCCATTTCCCTTTCTTTATGTGGGCTCATGTATTCTTTACATTGGTGTCTCATCTGAAGCAAGAAGATTAGCATGACAGCCAGTAAAGTACATATATTCAGAAGGAGGGGTCAGTAATCGCAGATTCCATGTTTTTCCCTTATGACAGGTGTACTTTAAGTAGTACTGGACACAAATATTTTAGTATAAGCCTGTCCAGGTAAGAAAGAAAATGCCACTGTAAGCAAACAAGGGAAATGAGGAAAAGCATGAGACATGTATCATGAGCATCTTCTAGTGTTATAGGAACTATATGCTCCATCATTTAGTAATCATGAGAGGCATACATTAAAGAAGAACTCCAGGTAAAATTTGTATTAACCCTTGCAGTGCGGCAGTAGCCCTACTGCATAGATTAAGTTCCCATTTTGGACTAGGGTCAAAAATTAAAAAAAATAAAAGTTATACTCACCTGATTTTCTGAGCCAGCCGGCTCTTAGACCAGTCCCTGGAGCCTCTATCCCCCTCCTCTGCAACAGTATAAGGGTCCCTGAGACATCACATTCTATACATAGTGTGTAGGACGTGAGGACGCCTAAGGACATACCTTCACTGCACCGGAGGAGGAAACAGGCAGGAGGGAGTGCTGTCACTCGGAGGATCGGGCGAGTAAAACTTTGTTATTCTTGACCCTAAGCAAAAAGAACTTAACCCTTGCAATGGTTAATCATTTTTTAGCCGGAGTTCTTCTTGAAGCATCAAAGTACCTGTAAAAATGAAGGTACATCTTAAGATGTGTTAGAATTCAAGTTGCATTAGAAGACATTAAGCGAGAGAGGTTTTTATGTATGATATAATTCACCACACAGATATAGTTGCAGCTTATGAAAGTATAATCAGTTTGTGAGCTTACGCAGGAACATGTCAACCATTAAAAGCTTAAGATTCCTGCAGATTAACCTCAGTGGGTAGTTAAAGATATACCAAACAATGTTTAATGTCAGCACCTAACCTCGAAATTCCTCATCTGTCAGCCGCTTCTTCTTAGACAACAAGAAAGGGAGAAAACCATCTAGTTCTAATGTGGCCCCTCGTGACACTATGTCAAAGAGAATGTGTCTATTGAACATCTTGATGACTGCAGGAGGGTCAGGGCATGGAGGCCCAGAATCCTGGTTATCCTTCCTGGAAGAAAATCAGGTAAAATTAAAGTCACAGAAAGCTCAAGCAACAACATTCTGCAGACATCTATCCTTCTTCCTTGCACGATAATTCTCTAATATTCACCTACATACATTATATGACTGTTAACTAAACTGGTCTTTAACCATCAAACTGGGAAACAATCTTATGCTGGGACCACTTTAGAAATCCCCTTGTCAACCAAGCTCAGAGTTGGGGGATATTTATTGTCCACCTGATTATTGTTCTCCAGAATACGGCCAGCACTGGGGGTGAATGTACAGCAAAAATACATGGGCATTCAGCTACAATAAAGACGTTTTGGATGCATCTTGCAACCATCATCTCACATCTGTGGGTTTTTACCCTTTACACTGAAATAAAAATGTTGAAGTGACACTAAACTCAGGATTTAAATCTTATAAATGCATTCAAGTACCCCATTAACAAAAATGTTACTTATTTGGGTTGTAGATCCGCAAATCATCTCTGAATTGGTGCCGACACCTTCTAGAGGGTGACTACTTTTGTTCCCCATGGTCCCTGTGTCTGTTGTAAAGTAGCCACCGCTCCAAGCTCACTCCTGTGATGGACTACAATCTCAATACAAATTAGTAAACTAAACATGAGATTGTATTCCATCACAGGAGTAAGCTTGGAGCGGTGACTACTTTAGAACACACACAGGGAGCATGGGGAACAAAAGTAGCCATCCTCCAGAAGGAAGGACAGTGTCAGCACCAATTCAGAGATGATTTGAGGATCTACAGCCGAGTGATACACAAATAAGATACAATATTGTTAATAGTTAAGATACTTGAATGTATTTTTATGATTTAACTTTAGTGTCACTATAAGAAGGTAAATGTGGGGTTTATGCATACAAATGTATACCTTTACACATGATACTTTTTTAGTAGCATGGTTTATACATTTTCCATAGGAGTAGAAATGTACTGTATATATTTTTATATTTATTATTTCTTTTATAAACATTATACACAATTGCTGCATTTCCCAACTGCGATTTATTGCATCAGCTATCATACTTATTATTTAGAGGCCTTGAACCCCGTAACTTGCATTAACTAAAACAATTCAAAGTACCTGTGCAAGAAGGTTTTGTCTATAAATTGAGGGTCCACTACTTTGGTGTACAAAATAAAAGCAATGGAAATTAACGGCACTAGATTTATAAATAGAAAGAAAAAAGACCCTTGGGGAGGGTAATGTGATATGGGAATGGGTAATTTATTTCCATACCCTAGAAATAAAGCGATCAGACCAGTTTTCTCACAGATCAGCTGACCTTACAGCTCGTGCCAAAACACATACCTGAGAAACAGCTCTGAAGCTTGTTATCAGAGTTCTGTTTAGGATCATTTACTAAGCATTGCATTAGTTTTAGAACTCCCAGATCTTAGGAGTCACTTATATGTAGCTACAGCATTTTATAGATATGTGCAGATAATTCCTTGGTTCACAAAATGTCAGAAGCCATAACAAACTCGTTAGTCAGAGTCAAGTGATTTTAGACAAGTCCAAAGTGTGGCCTAATGCACTCCTGCCTGGTATACCCCTAGAAGATGGGTGCCAAAATGACTGCAGATGGTGCCACTCAATATGGAGCCTGATGAAGGGACCCTGTGCGGCTCCAAACTTTGACCAACTATACTTCCAGACTGCTTGGACTCAAGATTCTGCAACGCAATAAACTCAGGACTCAGCAACGAAATGCACTTAGGACTCTGCAACGCAATGGATTCAGGAGCCCGCAACGCAGTAAACTCAGGAGCCCGCAACGCAGTAAACTCAGGAGCCCGCAATGCAGTAAACTCAGGAGCCCGCAATGCAGTAAACTCAGGAGCCCACAACGCAATGGAGCCTCTTATGTTGCAGAGTCCTAAGTCCATTGCAGTGCGGAGTCCAGAGTTTATTGCGTTGCAGAGTCCAACGTTTTTTGTGTTGCAGGGTCCTGTGTCCATTGTGTTGCAGGGTCCTGAATCCATTGTGTTGCAGGGTCCTGAATCCATAAATCTGTATTGCATTAGTGTTGCTTGTCCTCAAGCACTTACTGCATGGTGCATTGCATTGTTAACAAATGCCTCCTTATATATTATACGTAGAATGCATATGTTGCAAATGCAGTACACTGTGCATAAAGTGTGTGGGGGCATGCAATGTAAATGCAACATAATGCATGCAGTATAAATTACATGGATACATTAGTAAAATCACTGAATGCTTGCTGCGCGGTGTACTAAATACACCTTGTTGCAGGTGTTTAGTGATGTGGATGTAAATGCACAGCAATAATTAGGAAATTAACCTTTTTTTTAAACTGCATTAATAAAACTTGCTTTGCTTTAATACTTTATTAGTGCTAATGAACATGAATCAATTTATTAAAGGACGTTTTTGATTCTTTGGCTTGATTTATGTGCATTTGTCCGTGGAAACAAACATAAGAGCAGATCACTTAACATCTTTTATTGTTAGAAGGCATCCAGGAACTGTGAAGACACCAGCAAACTACTAACTTGGGGCATGCAAAAAATATGACTGGGAGTAATCATAAAAGTACAAAGTGTCACAGTACTGATAACTGTCGTCACACTGCAAGATCAGACTGAGTATAATGTAAAAAGATCTTATGTGGCTCCTATTAAAATGGGATTTGGACTATATATACACTATATTATATTGCAGCCATACAATCATGACCAGCGGAGGTCCAATTTTCCCAGTCATTTTCCTGCAGAACACTTTAACAAATTTGGTATTACTTTTTTATGAGAAAGTGCAAAGAGCTATGATGGTATTATGCAACATGAAATAACCGCCAGAGACCAAACAATAATGCATATCATAATGTAACCTGCAATAGAGACACTGAGGATCTGCTTCGGTTGTTTCTTCTGCTGTGTCTGGCTGTGTCCTCCCCCTCCTTCTCCTTCGTGCCTGCCGGATCTCCCAGGCATCCTCCCCGATGTCTGTGTCTATGTGATAGGCATGGGGGGAAGATCACAGAAGCAGGAGGCACACAGACATTAACTAGATGTCGGTGCCGCTGAGCTTCTCATGTCGCACGCTTGGGCTAAAGTGACAGCTGCTTTGGGCCCCTGTAAATGATGGGGCCCAGGGCAGTTGCCCCTTTTGCCCTGTGTTAAAGACGGCCCTGGCTGTTAGGCCCCATTGACACTTGCTGCACGCGTTCACAAAACATGTCATTCTTGCAGTGCCATTCTTTGTTAATGGCACCCCAAATACAGCAAGCAAGACAGACAAAAAATTTACAACAACCGCGTAAAAACCCATGGTCAAGAATTGTGCAAAGCTCTGAATAAGCAGAATAAAAATTGTGCGAAGCTCACGGCTCAAACAGCTGCATGAACTTCTTCAGCATGTTTGTAGTGCAAAGGGCAGACCAGTGAAATTAATTGACTGCCCTATGCAAACGTGTGACAAACATGCAAAAATTCTACATGTGTTCAAGTGTGAAAGGGGCCTGAGAAACAGACCCTGGAGCTTTTGTTGTGGTCTATGAGAATGAATGACTTTGCTGCACAGGAATGCAAGTGTTTACTCGAGTAATGTGGCCATTTCTAAGCTGTTGTAACATTACTTTCATTGCAGATATGTTAAAATATATACAGTATATATTTAAGGAGCTACCAAAGATAGAAATACCACGGAGGGACTCTGCTCTAACAGACAAGACAAACTGAGTGCCTTTGTCGTAAGTCTTTCCTCGTATTGGGATATTCCAGTTCTATAGTATAGACAAGGAAGGAAATGCTGGAAGACCACAGATAAGAAATCACAACACTTTGGGAAAGAATAAGGCTGTCTGACTCAAATATTTTAGCCCTGTGACTGTTTCAATCCTTTTACAATGCAGTGGAAATATATATATATATATACAAAACTATCCAATGTGCATATCATTATATATCAATCAGGTTCCTAGAATTAGGCTATTTAGCTACAATGTGTTTCCTAGAATTTCATATATTCCAGGCAAGTTTTTTCTTTAACTTTGTGCTTTAGATATACTTTTATATATGTTCAAACACAATAAGAAAATCTCCTCAACATCCCCAAACCCCTCATAGCACATTTTAAACCCTATATCAAATATACAACCAAGCTGTTAAAGAAGCTTACGTTGCGCAAGGAAACTAATCAGACTTAAAGTTAGGGATGCACCAATACCAAGTACCTTACTAAGTACAAGTACAGATACTTTTCCAGCTCCAAGACTAGACTAGAGAAAAATTCAAAAGTTAGGAGGCAGCTGTCATTTGTAAGGAGCACACGGAGCTCCTGGGATTTGTACATCTCTGTTTTAATGTATGGTTTGTTTTATATGTAACTTTTTAGGGATGCACCGATACTTGCCCAAGTACTCACAGATATGAGTACCGATACATTTTTGTTTATTTTCATGTGACAGTTTTTCTAAAACAATACAGACTAATGATTTCAGGACAGTGATGGAGCGCCAGAGCCAGGTGCCAGCTGCAACCCTGGTAGTTTACGTGAAAATGCCAAGTAACGGCACTGGTATCTGAACATCCCTACTTAAAGTGTATTATCACTTCCGCAGCCAAATTGGGAGAACACTTATTTTTATATTTGTTATACGTTTCCATTCACATAGCATATTTAAAAAATGCTTCTTTCAGCGTAAATTGCTTTTACTTAGCTTAGGGTTTCTTGGTTTCTCAAGAGTTAAAATTTCTACTTGCTTCTCCTTTTTGTAATGTTCGAAGGGTTTGTGAGGGGTTAAATGATTACAGCCCCGGCTTCTACACTGTATGTTAAAGTGACATTAAACGCAATTTTTTTTCCCCCTCACCTCAACGTTAATTTAAGCACTTACCTTAAATGATGTTTCTTAATCCGATCTTCTTTCCTGATGTTTTCAGCCTTCTCTCCAGCGCTGCGGCGAGTCTCCGATCCAGCGCTTACTCCTCTGGGCTTGCTGGCACTTCCTGTCCCACGGTGTCTGCATGAGGGTGCACGCGTCCATAGACCTACCTTGCGTCCCAGCTGAAAATATGAACTGCGCATGCGCGCGCCCCAAGATCCTTTGCGGCCGCCCGAGAATTTTCTAATTTTCGGACGGAAGCACGCAGGGAAGACACAGGTAAGTTTAAACCACTGTTAAAGCGTTTTTTTACTTTTTGCATACATCTACTGCTTGCTAGCAGTAGATATATGCAAAAAAAGCTGAGGGTTTAGAAACCCTTTAATGAGAGAAACCCAATCCGCAAATTTCAGTCCTAAAACTGGCCAGATATTCGAAAGAACTTTTGTACCATTTCGACTGTAGTAACGAAAAACTCAAAGCACGATGGAAAATTTTTCTCAAACAAGCTTCCGTCACTGAATGCGTTTTTCATTTCGGGAAACCCCATTCATTCCAAAATCGAACATAGGAATTGAACATAGGAAATGTATCTTTCCTACGAATGTTCGTTCAGAAATCTACTAGTATAGGGCCAGCTTAAGTCCTTCTATAAAAGGACAGATCACTGTGAAGGTGCTGAAAAACACCTGGAATCAGCCATGTTGCCTGCTGCAACAAAACATCTAAAAAAAATAAAAAAAATAAAAAAAAAAAAGGTAAAAAAATATTTGTTTTTAAAATATTTTTTTTGTATGCTATGCAAATAGATACAAATAACAAAAATGTAGAGAGGTTTTTTTTTTATTTGACTGTAAAAGTGGGGAAAAAAAATACACTATTAACCTGGCCAGGAAAATGCACCTAAATATTACTGGATGCTATGGGTGACACCTCCCTTTTACTTTCCTGCAGTCTTTATGAATTAGTCCCACTTTACAGAACAGTGTACATGGCCTACTAGTTTACAAAAGGAAGAAAGGAATTCAAGAAAGACTACTGGAATATATTGGGTAGAGGCTGAAAAAAGAACACTGGGGTTTAGACTACTCAGCGGAATAAGCCACTAAGCACAGAACGAGAACATTCATTTCCGCAATGAATTATTGAGAAGATCAACATTCTGTCTCAATGTACACACAGACACCAAACGCCGTCACATAAAAAACCCAGCTAAACACTTTGTAATGAGGGAGCTTTTACCCAAAGGGAGGATTCTACAGATGTGTAGGGAGAGGAGGACATTAGTCTGTTTTATGATACACTGTACTTTCTTTGAGTTTGAGTTTGAAATATTTTAGGCTATTGTCTGATAGATGCAGAGCTTTGCAACTGATTTTTTTTTAATTTCATTTTCCATATTTACTGCAATGGAAAAAAAAACAATCCTTAGCTGTTTGGAACGATACCAGCTTCCTCTCATCTGACTAGAAGAAAGCCTTACGCAGGGGACTCACTCTTCTGGTGTCTTGCCACTCAATTTTCTAAATTTTTATTATTTCTCCCGATTAAAAGGCTTGATTGCTTATGCACCAATCATTACACTGTGGGATGTGGATACTACTACTACCACCTGCCTCCCATACCAGGAAGTGTGGTTTTTCGAAAAAAATTAGGGGGCTCTGGAGGAGTTCCAACAACGTTGAATGTAAAAATAAGAAGATCTGGCACCCTGCTGTGCCTGGCTTCTGACAGCAACATTAGCTGTGTGTTTCACCGGAGAACAAGTTTTCTGTCATTAAAAAGAGTTATATACTGCCACAGTAACAAGGAAGATGCAGATTCTACATGTCCTTGCATGTTTTAAAATATCTATTAACTACATCAATGAGGTTGGACAGCTTAAGTAATACTTATTAATGCTTTTTAAGTCCTAGTGTAGCAGAAACTATAGAAAGCATCTTGGTATATAGTCAGTCAGAGCCTGTGTCAACGGGCATTTGCATGCGCAAGACAGGTTTTGCAATCTCATACAAGTCTATGGGAATGCAAAACTTGAAGCAGGTCAAATGCCAGTCAGTTGATGATCAAATGCACCAGCCAATGAATTCGGAAGGAACTCAGAAGCATCTCAAATTGATGTTAAACTGACGCCATTGACACAAGCCCAAAGCCAGTGGACACAGACCCTCATAGTGGTTGACCGTAGCAATTTAATGAGACCGTTTGTACTCTCAGACCCATCTGCACTAACCCAACAACTACCTCAAATACAAATAAAACCACACATCCTAAGGCCTGTGCTGATTTATTTCTCTATAGCAGTGATTCTCCGTTGGAGCTTGCAAGCTACATTTTGCTAAATGCCAGCTTAGATGGGGCTTATAGCCTGTATCCTTTAACTTGCAGAAGCTTAATGGGGCTTGGAACATGTATCCCTTAACTTGCAGAAGTTGACTCATATTTACAATATTAATGATAAATGATTGCTTTCCCAGAGGGCCTGTATGGATACGCTGCTCATAGTATATCATGGAAACTATATTATTGGTACATTTCTTTTATGCTCAGCAATGAGATTAAATTAATAATCATATAAAACTGGAATAAAGTAGAAAAAAGGGGACGAGTTAAAATTAAATATGTATTGCTGCCTGTGTCCTCAAAGATTTTCTCTCACTTGCTAACCAACAGGCTTATATGGAATAGAGTGGAAGTCCCATGTTTAAACGTATAAACCAAAAGCAGGCCCCATTAGAAGAGATCACCCCTATCCCTATTCCAGGGACAACCATAATGGCTTTTGGATTCCCCCTCACATTCTATTCTGGTGACAATGGTCATAGTACTGTATAAAGGGGCTGGAGTCAGTTCTCAATAAGCACCATCAGGGCCGGCCTTAGGCCTTTAGGCGCCCTGTGCGAGAAAGCTTTACAGCGCCCCTCAGTGACCACACCCCTCAGTGGCCACACCCTTTAGTGGCCATTCTAGAGGCAAATATAGAATGCTTCACTACAGAGGTCAGTAGGATAGTAAAGTAAAGAAAATCAGCATACATGAGATACAAGTAAACAGAGGGTGTAGTCAATAGGAAAGTGAATATAAACAGCAGGAGGCCAAACATGGTGCTGCTAAATCACAGAAAGAGGAGGAAAGGAAAAAATCTGTTAAATAAAAAAGGTGACAAATGTATATCAGCGGCAGGAATAAAACAGTGGCATCAATGAAAACTGGGTATAATGTTTATGTTGAGGGAAAGCTAGATTTAGAAAACATTCAGAATGAATGGCACTGCACCAGCACACCTAGAATGTGGTTCATTGCTCTGGGGCTGACCCACTTCATTTACAAAAATTGTCTGTGTTGTTAACCAAAACAGGACTTAGGATCTAAGTTTATTTCTGGCACATCATTACATAGTTACATAGTATTTGAGGTTGAATAAAGACATAAGTCCATCAAGTCCAACCTATTGCGTGTGTGCATTTATGTTTGAGCAGGTGTGTGCGCGTATATGAGTACATGTGTGATTTTGCTCTTAAGAGTACTGGTACCCCTTTATGTTACGGTCTCCGAGGAACTGGTCTAGGAGTTTCTTGAATGATTCCACACTCTTAGCTGAAATCACTTCCTGCGGCAGCAAGTTGTTATTTCAGCTAAGAGTGTAGAATCATTAGATATTTGTCTTTACTTGCAGGGTCTTCAAAGTGACATTAAAAATGTAAATCTACTGCTTGCTAGCAGTAGATATAGGCAAAAAAAAAAAATCGGAGGGTTTCCTTTAAGGCCCCTTTCAGATCAGAAGAGGATAAGAGGATAAGTGCACAGATCTTCTCCTAATCACAGCAGTACGGATATGAAGCTGCCTGACCCCATGGTGGTCTATAGGGAATCTGATGTAAATGGACATGTGCCCGTTTACATAAGATTAGCCCCGATCCGGCACAATCCAGTCCGTTGAAACTGAAAACTGTACCATCTGTTTTGCCGGACCCGGCCAGAGCCGGGAGTAATCAGGTCCATCTGAAAAACTGACAGGCAGACCCAAATCGGACCGCCCATTTGAAAGGGGCCAGAAGGGATAAAGCATGGTAAACGTGCATGTTTTGCAGAAAACCACAACATAGTTTTTTTTGCTTTTCTCCTGACATTGACCTTAATATGTACAGCCTCAAGGAAAGGAGAGAAAGGGGGAACATAAGATATTTAACCGCTTGGTCCCCCTAGCTGCATTATTAAAACGCTGCTAGTAAGGCAGCCATTTAGACCAGCGCCATTCCTAAATGGTACTAGGAATCGGTGACTAAAGGTCAAGGCACGTGTAGAGGCAGAAATTGCAAGCCGTCAGTGATAACTGGCATCCAGCACCAAGGAAGGCTCAAAACTAACCTTAGAAAGAATTATTTTACAAACACAGTAATGGATGTTTGAAACAGCTTCCAGCACAGGTAGTGAGTTAATCAATGGTAGGTGAATTAAAACATGCTTAGTATAAACATAGTTTTATAATCAGTCAGAAATGTAAAAACAAATACAGTCTCAAAATGTAAAATACAAAAACAAAAAAAAGAGACAGACTCGATTGACCACTTGGTCTTTTTCTGTTGCCACTCTTCTATAAACCGAGAGTGAGAACCTCCCCAATGAGAACATATGTATACATCACTCTATACAAAACTAGAAAAATAATTGTCGGAAATTCCACTTAAAACACACACAGTGCACATGCAATAGTCATATGTTGTTACTTACTCTGCAAGTATTTTCTTCCGCCGTCGTCGGTTTTCTGTAGGGTGATGGTAGGTCCCATAGTCAAACAAAGAGTCCATAGGTGCTTTCTTCGGCCCTGGGACCACAGAGGATTCATAAATGGTAGATTCCAAAAGATCCATAGGATTGCCAATGCCCTTTTTGAATGCACCTTGAAATCTGATTCTGAGGTTGTGTTTTCCATCTCCTGGAGGCTGTGGAGTTCGGATCACCTCTGTGGGTACTGCCCCCTCTTCATTCTCAAACAAGTTGGCCAAGGACGAGAGCGGAAAAGTGTCATTATGTGTTGATCCATCATCCCCTTGACTTTCATCAATATCTAAAGATGCACTTTTTTTGGGGAGGTTTGAGGGATCGGTCATGCTTGACTGACCTGCTGAAAAGAAACAAAACATTGCATAAGTGGAACGAATGCAAAATATTACACAAGATCTTTTGCAGCACTTATAGCAAATATAAAGGGTATATGATAAGAGGAATGTAGCAACTGTACAATGTACAGAACATGCATTAGGTGAACTGATTTTAGTATTTCCAACACCAACACGTGATATATCACAAAAGTGATATCAATCATCAGTGTATCTCCATGTGCACACACACACACACACACACACACACACACACACACACACACCTTAATTGATTTAGGGTGCCTCAAAACGTAGCCCCCAAACATGAAGGGGCTGTACAGGATATTTTTTATGATACAGAATACGTTCAGCGACTGCAGGGATGTTACATTAGCAGGTCAGAGAATGAAGGCATTCTACATTGCTGATCAGATACTGCAGGTATGTTACATTAGCTGCTCAGAGATTGTAGGCATGTTACAAAAGCTGGTCAGAGTCTGGAGATTGTACAGGAGATATCAAACACTTCTGTTAGGTCCACATGCAGATGCAGCAGGAAATTAGAGAATCTCCCTAAAGTGAGGGACAGTTGTCACTGGAACACTTGTCCCCAACATACAATTTAACATTACCTATTGTTCTTGTGACCACTATAAATATTTGGTTTTCCTATCACTTTCAGGTCTCAGGGAAAATATTCACCAGGACAGATAGCGAGATGAATCTCTCTACCAGGGACACAAACAAAAATAGAAACTTGGCAGAGGGTCGAACCCTTCCGCATTCTTTTAAAAAAAAGTTTGCCTTTACATACACTTCAACTCAGTCCCCATATATGTTTTCCAGCTTTGCCTGATGTTTCACATTTCAGATACATAAAGTCTACAATAACACACTGCTCTTCACATATGTCCTCATTATAGACTATACTGTAAACCACTAGCCAAACTGAGCCCATATGTGGTTAGGAACACAGCCTGAATGCCACAAAAAACAGGCTCTCTTTTATTTTCACTATAAATAGGAGGAAAACATGTCATTTTCTAGACCCAGACAACTGCAGTTAAACTTTTTTTTAAGTTAAATTATAAAGTATTCTTTATACAGTTCTTTCATTGCACATCATGTTACAAAATCATGAACTCAAATTGCACACACTAACCTGTTGCTTGGTATATGTTTCGATATAATTACTAGAAGAGGTCACATTTTGATTACATGGGAAGTAACTTGCTGCAAATTTAAGCTAAACAAAACCTGTCAGGTGTGTAGGAATAAAATGCTGTTTTATCATTGAGAATTTAAAAAACACAACTAAAGACTCCTATACGATAGTCTAAACAAGTTCTAGATCCAGTAAGCATGTGAGGAACAAGCTTCATAAACTTTCCTTTTCTGACCAAACCAAATCTCCATTATGTCTCAAGGTATGTCATATCGAAGCCAGTGTTGTCAATCCAGCAGTGGGCATCACAGGGTGTGGCCAGGTGCTAACTGACCAGCTACTCTTGTCTGAATTCAGGAGCTGTGCAGCATCATCTATCATAGGAAGCTGCAATAGGTGGAAATCACTGGCAGGAACAACAGGTAAGTGTGGTGCTTTGCCGGGGGACTAGGAGAAAACTAGAAGTGTAGATGCACTTATAATTAGGCCTCGTTCACACCAGACACAGTGTTTTCCGACGTGATTCTGGTCGGATGGCACTGCATCACATTGCGGCCGGCACACTATGTTGTGGGGCAGGAGGGGGCATGGCGGTCCAGTGAAGTGAATGGCACCATAGCCACGCCATCAGGCTGCAATGCGATCGGCCACATAGGAATGCAAGGCCGATCGCACTGTGGCTGGAGGGCGTGGCTACGGTGCCATTCACTTCAATGGACCGCCACACCCCCTCCTGCCCCACAACATAGTGAGCCGGCCGCAATGCGATGCAGTGCCATCCGGCCAAAATCAGGCTGGGACGTATTGTGTCTGGTGTGAACGAAGTCTGAAAGAGGAACTTTAAGGACATTCCCCCAGCCCCCCCTACCCGTTTTTTTTTCCCATCACCTCTTATGCTGGCCTCTCACCAGAAAACATACTCCCCTGCAAGCAAATCCTTCATTGTCCTACTGTAATCTACCAATCCGCTGCCATAGCCCTGGTCCAGGGGCATTTCGCATAGTGGCTACTGCAGGGCCAGCTCCAGGCCCACCACTGAAAATAAGCCGGCTGGTCCGGAGTGCCTCAGTAGGCCCGATGGTAATCTGGGCCGGCTGGGCTGTACACAATACGGCAGAGGTACCAGCGGTTCCCTAATCAGGCAGCCACTAGCTGGGGCCGAGGAGAGAACGGCCACCTAATTAGAGAGCTGACTCTGCAATACAGAGTGGTAGATGGTCCTCGTGTCACACAGCGTGCGTTCCCCAACACATGCTTTCTCTCTCCTCACACAGGATATCCCCTTTTTCTGTAGTTCCTCTCAGTCTTCCCCATGTCTCAGCCTCCTCCTCTCCTTCTCCCTCATTCCTACACAGGTTACTCATAATGGACTATGGATGTGCTGAATAGCGATCTACGACCTGAGTAAGTACTCTGTGTTGTGCGGGCCCGGGGTCCCTCTGGGTTTCCCTATACATGTCTGAGTTTTATAGTGCTCGTTCTCGGCTACAATATCCAAATTTCCCGGCGTGTGTGCTGGTCCAGGGACTCTTGTGTGGGGTTCCCCCTTAAAATCCATTACATTTTAGACTGGGGTGCCTTGAGATATTTAAAACTTTCAAAGGGTGCCGTGCCTGAAACAAGGTGAGAAATGCTGCTTTAGAGCTCCACAAGCTAAAGGGCTGCATGTATACAATCCTGCCTTATATTTTGAGCGAACACAGGTACGGATTATAAAAAGAACAATTCTCTGTAGGATAAGCAAAATACATTTTAGTTCACATTTCTGTATCTGAATTTAAAATATAATAATTGTAAATAAAAGCCTACACACAAGTACAATATATTACAGCACATATTTCTTTTTCAAAAGTCCAGAGCCAAGAGCGAGTTAAACGATACTATTTATACGGTGTGAAAGCTCTGGATTATGACGACACTGGTCTCTAGCGCCTGTCAAGACTTGCAAAATATGAACAGGATAATACCACCTGGAAAGTTACAGTGTAATTGAAAACCAGCCAGCATTCTACATACATGTGCTCTTATATAAAATCCTACAAGATGTTTATAAATGGTGGACTTTCCACGGAGAAAGACACACAAATAAAACTACATGTTATAAAAAAGATTTGTCTAGCCATCACCCTTCAAGACCACTCATTTTCACATAATTCTAAGGTTTATTTTTTTAAAGCTGAACTCCAGTTTTCAGGTTTACTCCGCTGTGGACATCTCCAGTTCTTTACAGACTAACCATGTAGGAGTTTCGTCTTCTAAAGATGAAAAAATTACCCTAGCATAGGGTTTCCCCCTACACACTGCAAGGGTTAAATGGTCCTTTTTGCCTAGCGTACCAAGAATCTTACCATCTCCCTTACTCCCCTGGTGGTTGGCTCCCACCTTTTCTCTCTAGCACTCCAGGTTGTGGTCCTCGGCGTCCTGCACTGTATAACATCACAGCTGTGACCACTGGACCTCTTCGGCACCCGGTCCAGCAGCCACAGCTGTGATGTCATCACACACAGACCAGGTCCAACATATATGGAGACATGTTTAGCTCACCCAAAATGATGATATCTGACCACACAATGGTAGGTGTTCATGCTTAAAAAAAAAACTTGTCAGAACATTCGATAACGCTATCAGAGACGTGACCAACATTTTTGAAGTTTTGTTTGATTTTAACAAACGATTTTGGAATGAATGAAGCTGCTCCTTTTAATTTTTTTCATCACTTTGTCGAAATGAATCATCAATTTGACCCCATTAACTATTAGAACTATTTTTTGTTTAAAGAAATGCAACTGGTGTATGGCCAGCTGTACAGAGACACAGTCACCCACCTCTCCAGCAAGGTATACTTAACTATTCATCCTCCCAGATCACTTTTCTGCTGCAGGACTCCAGTCCATGTAAACTTTAAAGTGATATTAAAGTCAAAAGATTTTTAAGCTATTTAAAATGTTAATTAAAATCCCTTACAATGGATGCTGCTGCTTGATGGTTAAATGTTTTAGCTTCCTGCCGAATCAGCTGGTCCCATGAGCACTCGCCTTGATATCCTGTTTTAGGGGGGCTCATTTCCTTTGCAGGGTCCTATGGAGTCACCCTTGTGTGTGCTAGTAAGCTGTGTGTGTGTCTTCAAAAACACACACACAGGCACAGCAAGGCAAGACACTTCCCTCACCCTTACTTCCCACTCCTCCCTCCATTTTTTCTCCTACAAAGCTAGTAGATGGACATTTGCTGGAGACTGCTCTGTCTCTTGTGATCTTTTGAATGGGAAGTTCTGGGAAGCTGGGCTGAGAGAGTTGGAGCTGTTCTGAAACATCATGACTAAGTGCTTGGGCAAAATTTCAAAAGAACTACTTTGCTGAGAAAGATATATTTGATTGATCAGATTTATTATTGAAAAAAAGTTTGAGAGTTTAATACTACTTTAAGGCTTTAAGGTTGGATGATGTCAGAGCTGACCTGGATGGGATTGGCCAAACAGGCTGGAGCACTATTACAAGGGCAGGTCACGTGCTCCTTAATACCCAGAAGCCCTACTCTGTTAAAGCAATAAAGCAAGGGCTCTGACACAGCAGGGTAGGGGCAAGGGAATTTGCCCAGATACTGATGAGGTAAATCATAACCCACTTTCTTTTCTATGCTTTGTACTTACATATGTATTCCTAATTCTGTATCTGTTGTCATGAAGTCTCATTCCTGCGCAGCAGGGGATTCTATGGGTGTAATCTGTGTAATGTAAACTAAATGCAAGCTTCAACAAAGAAAGTCCACACTGTATTGGCTGTGACAGGTGAGCAAATAGGTCAGCGGCCCTTCACCCAGGTGATAGAAGAACCTGGCAGATGATCCAACCTGCCAGCA